ACTGACTTTGAAAAAAAAATCTGTTCTTTTTTTCTTATAAAAGGTTAAACAAAACAAAAATATTGGTGGTAATTTTTGACTGTGTAACTTTACAAACGGCACCAGCTCAATGCAGCAACTCTTCTGTTTAAAGTGTAACAAAGGAAATAAAATGTAGTCATGTCCAACATGCAGAGGACCATTAGGAAGGAACAACCTGTCTGGGCCCAGAGGTCATGTGTCCTTCAGTCAGGGCTGCACAATATATAGCAAAGTTATCATCATTGTGATGGCACCGTGTGCAACAATCACAAAAAAATGACATTAACTGCAAGAAATGGTTCCAATCAAAAGTTTGCATTTATACGTTTTATCAGCATCAGTGTGATAAACAAAACAGGACTGAAATACCACATTAAATCATAGGTCAGTGCAGAAAAGGTTGGCCAACTGCAATGAAATAATTTGCAGTCGGATTAACATTTATTCAATTTTTAAACTTATTTTTAGGTGTTATTTATTAAAAAATGATAATGATGGGTGTTTTTCAGCTTTTAGAGCATCAGCTTCATCAGTTTAGGGCAATGTTTTATAGTCATTAAACTGTGATTTCATCAGACATGTCCAGTTGCTCTTTTATTTTTAATAAAACTCATGTTGGAACAGAAATGATGAACTGGTTTTGTTTTTGTTTTTTCAGAACCCAGAGCAGAAAGACATCAACACTTCATACTTTAGTATTTTGTTCATTTATCGCGAGTCATATCGTCATCACAATATTAAGAACTGTTAACACACATCACACGTTTTCCTTATCTTGTTGGTACTTTTTAACCAATCAATCTCAGCAAGTCTGTTCAGATCTGACCAATAAGTTATGTTTACTGGTTTGTATTGACCTTTTGACATCAACAGCAGCTTAGCAAACAAGCCCTCCCATAAAACAGAAGTCCTGAGATTCAGTTTGCAGACACCATTAGTTGTTTTTGTGCGCTGAGTGTTTTGTTTCCATAATGAACAGCTTACATCACAGAGGGGATCTGCCTATTGATGAGCGAGCTGCGCATGCGCACAAACTGGGACCTGAGTAGCCACCCCTGGACGCACAATAACAACGCTTCTGGCTTCCTGAAGATTTCACGAAAGTCGCGCAGATGTTTGCAGAGGAGAAATGTGCAAAGCGCACGTGCATCCGCGCGCAAAATGAAATTAAAGAGAAACTATCTGCGCTGCAGCAGGGCTGCACTTCTTTCACTATTAAAGGCTTAAAGGGAGATTTGTACCTTAACCTTTCAGCAGCGTGAGTCCGGAGCCTCCATGTCCACGGAAAACTCGCTGTGCCTGAGGAGTGGTCGGTGTGAGGGAGGTGAGGAGGAGGAGGAGGAGGAGGAGGAGGGGAACGACCACAGACCCTGACGCTGATCACGTCCTCGGTTTCTCCCCCCGCAGTTCTGCTGCTGCCGCTGTCAAAAATGCCCCACCACGTCCAGGCACGGCTGAGACACGGTGCTTCCACTCGCAGGAAGTGACCTCACGACTGACAGCTGGCGGAGAGAAAGTGCACACCCGCCTCCGACACACCTATAGTTTCAGCCAATAGGAAGAGAGCAGGTTTTCCCTTGTGAAGGACGCCCCCTGACCACGAGGAGGCAGCACAGCGCCCCCTCCAGTGTGTGGACTTGTTTCTGCTACAAAGTGAGGACCATTTGCAAAGAAGTTACTGTCAAAGTGAGGTCTTTCATGTGAAGTGAACAGGGGCGCCAGCAAGGTGGGGCAGGGGGGCCATGGCCCCCTGAGAATTTGTTGCCCCCCCCCCTCCCCCCAGTTTTATTCTCATGAGTATCCAGGTTTTTCCTTTTTCAATTCTCCTGCCGATTTAGGAATAAAACCTCATAAA